GGTCGGTCTTATATTAAACACGTGATATCGTATATAATGTAAGGGATTTCCGTAATTCGGAAATTTCACTTGAAATCGCGCACCTGCACAGGTGACGCACAAGTGCCGTAAGGGTGCCGCACGAGTAGTGCATAAATAACACCCCCTCTGCGGCCGAGAATAGCAACTAAAACTCAGCTTATTAAACCTAGGAATAATATAGTATTCTGAATGAATAATGAACTAATTAGAATCATATGTAAACAAGTCGTGTATTACATGTATTTTTTTCGATTCATTTCGGATAAATCCCGCATTATGGAAGATCCTTCAAAGCAACTTCTTCTCTTCCTTTTCCAACACATTCTTTTGTTTTATCTCGGAAAAATATGCGCAGCTTCATTATAGAGACCGTTCTTTTTCAACGATTGCAATTGTAATTTATATATACAATATTTAGTATATGACAGATTAAGTCTTACCCTATTTAGGAATATAGTTTTGCCTCTTGGAAAATAAGACGCGAAAAAACGACTAAATTCATAATGATCTTATATTCAATTTGTCTTTTAGAAAGATAAATTTCTATAGATCATAATTATAATTATTCAGCAAAATAATTCACGGTATAGCTTTAACTAAATAAATTTGATGGAATCGTGATGAGACTAAGAATTCGTTCCGATGCGAATATGCTCCAACTTTCATTCCGAAAGAATTATTATGTCGAGTAGTTATAAATTTTAATGCATTGTCTCTAAAGTATAAAAAGAAGTGATGTTTCTTCACAAGCTATCAAGAAAAATAAAAAATATGAAAACTCTCTCGGCTAACAAAAACGATAAGAAAAAGATTATCAAAAGATATCCAGAAAAAATAGAAAAAATGCATGGATTGAATATGTGAATGAATGTTGCTCTTCTTTGGAAAAAGCCACGGGTTCCAAAGTAAATAGAAAGGAAGTCGCTAAATTATCCTCACCGAATTGGAGGAAACTGGCCGAAACAAAAAAAAACAAATATGTAATTCGTGCGCATAATGCCTCAAAACGTGATTTATCAAATAACGTTTTTGACTCTAGTCCTGATAACTTGTTGGACGCCACTTACACTGTACCTGAGCCTACGGAATCTTTAACAGTTTCTGAGTCCGAATATAGAAAACTTGAACACTCGTCTTTTGATGTTCTTGCACCTTTTACTGATGAAGAAGTCTCCTTGCTTTACAAATACGGATATCGATTCGACGAATTTAATAATTTCTATTTCCATTAAATTTCCATCAATAGTATTTTAGATTTGGGTGATAACCTTACCCATTTTTTGGAAAAATCGAAGATAATTAAGGCAAACTATAATGTAAACGTGGCAAGATATAAGATAATTTTAACATTCAAATCGTAAATTTAAACCATATCAAAATTTTTTGTAAGAAAATACATAAGATGTAATTTCCTAAGATCTATTATTACAGTATTTTAGCATTTTTTTAACGATATTATACTTTTGCTTCAATGTTTTCATCAATCAGCTGATCTTATTTGATGTCAACAATTGGCCATTTTTCTGTACTAGTCCGTATTAAGTTGATTTTTCACTCCAAATAGTTAGGCTTATGCAGTAAAGTTGCGGGTCAATTTTATATCTATCTATTTTCTCTATTCTATTCTATTCTATTCTATTCTATTCTATTCTATTCATTTCATTTCAACAGAAGTAGATTCTCCGAAGGGTGGAATGAAATTTATTTTATACTTATTTTTTTATGCGAAGCAGTATATACTCACCTGACTTACACGAAATATAAATACTGTAAATACTACAAAAAAAAATGTTATTAAAATGTCTCGATGTGGTGTGATCGAAATTTTGCCATAACTATATACAGTAAAGCGATAATGATTCACAGTGGTGTGATAAAATTTCAGTCACGACAAGTAGCATGATAAAATTTAGTCGCAATGTGTGGTATAATAAAATTTCAGCCACGATAAGTGGTGTGATAAAATTCAGTCACGACAAGTAGCATGATAAAATTTAGTCGCAATGG